CTAGCTCACCATACTGGAGGTCCTATGTTCAACCCCCAGGACATAAAACTATCAGAGCAGCTATCGGTAAGATCACAATTAGAAAAATGTATGTGATAATCTGACAGGCTTCCTCCTGCAGCGAGTGGGAACAAATGCAGAGACCCACAGCCAGATACCACACACACACACACACACACACACACACACACACACACACCTAGAGAGAGAGAGAGAGAGAGAGAGAGAGAGAGAGAGAGAGAGAGAGAGAGAGAGAGAGAGAGAGAGAGACCTTTGGGCACACAGCTGTAAAAGAGCCGAAGGTTAAGGCGGACACCAGGAGAAGTCCCTCTAGATGAACTGAGTAAAGCTCATATGAACGAACAGAGACTAAATCCCCAAGCATGTGGGCTACACGGGTCTACAGTGGGTCCTCTGGTTATATGCTGTAGCTTTCAGCTTAATGTTTTCATGGGACTCTTGAGTGTGTGAGAAATGAGTCTCTGATTCTTGTGCCTTCTCTTAGGATACTTGCCCATTATCCGTATGTTGGTTTGCATTGACGTGATAGTTTTTGTTTATCTTATTATATTTTCCTCTATTATGTTTTAGAAGAAAAGGGGGGAAATACACAGACAGAAAAAGGAAAGAATAAGGACCAGTCAAGGAGATACAAAATGAAAAAAATAATAATAGTTAGCTGGCAAAAAAAAAAGTTGCTTCCATATTAGAATGTAGCCTAGTTCTCTTGGAGACTGGTGTGTTCCTGCTTCCAATTTTATTCTCTGGTGAATCTCACCTGCCCTTCATGCTAGCTCAACAAATTTGTTAAACTGAAAAAGAAGGAGAGACAGAAAAGATGAAGAAAGAAGTGTATGTGGGCTTTGAACACTGTCTCCTCTCATGCTGTCCCCGAGCCTGAGCTACTTGAGACCTTAAAAAGTAAAAAAAAATAGCCGGGCGGTGGTGGTGCACGCCTTTAATCCCAGCACTCAGGAGGCAGAGGCAGGCGGATCTCTGTGAGTTCGAGGCCAGGCTGGACCGATAGCCTCCAAAACAATACAGAGAAACCCTGTCTCGTAAAAACCAAAAAAAAAAAAAAAAAGTAAAAAAAAAATAACAATAAATAAAAAATCAGAGAGGAGAAATGAGTTGTCCTAAGAAACAAATGCATCAAATTCTGCATCGGGACATTTGCTGACATGAGTTTCTCATACAAAACTGTGTGGTTTCGTTTTAACTCTTTGGGGGACCTGTACACACAGAAATATTCTTACTTATGATCACCTGGCCTTAGCTTAGCTTGTTTTTAGCCAGCATTTCTAACTTAATTTATCCTGTTTCTTTTTAACTACTTTTTGCCTCTGGGCTTTTTACCTTTTTTTTATTGTATACATCTTGCTTTCCTTCTTACACCATGGGTGGTTGTATGACCAGGTGTGGCGCCTGGTGTCCTCCTCTCCTTCCCCTTTTCTCAATCCTCCCCTCTTCCCTACATTTCTCCTATTTATCTTTATGCCCGCCAGCCCCGCCTATCCTTTCCCCTGCCTTGCTATTGGCCGCCTAGCTCTTTATTAGCACAGTCAGGTGTTTTAGGCAGGGGAAGCACCACAACTTTACAGAGTTAACCAAATGCAACATAAAAGAAGGCAGCACATCTTTGCACTATTAGACAAGTATTCCACAGAGTAAACAAAGGTAACACGTCTTTAATATTCCACAGCACTAAGATCTGTGAAATGAAGAGTTAGAATGACTTCAGGATTCAGAGTCACACTGACTCCTCCTCCTCCTCCTTGATCCTTTACTATCCTTTCTCAGATCGTCAATTATGCTTGTCTGTTTAACAGGCATCAAGAGAAGTTGTGCCAGGCTGTTGGCAGATGCTTTCAATCCAGCTATTCAGGAGGCTGGAACGGAAGGATGGCAAGTTTGTGACCAGCCTGGGGAAAAGGTTTTGAAACCATGTCCCAAAATACAAAATGGCTGAGGATGTAGGTCAGTAGTAAATACCTTAAGGAGCATGCCCAAGGCCCAGGGCAGTTCCTTAGCAACACAAAGACAAGCAAATGAACGAGTTCTTAAAGCAAGTGATCTTTTTTGAGGTAGAATCTTCAATAGCCCAGGCTAGCCTTGGGCTCCCTAAAATAGGGGAAATGACTTTGAACTCCAGATGTTCCCTCAGCTTCAGACTCCCAGTTGCTAGAATTACAGGCATGTACTATCATGCCCAACTCTAGCAAACGATTTTTGGATTTGATACTGAAAAAAAAGTGTCTTGTTAAAGTATAAAACCAATTCCTTTTCTTTCTTTAGAATATAAACTTTCACATTTGGCTGTTATTTCTTCAGATGTTATATAATGGGTGACTCTAAAGTTTTGACTTCCTTAATACAGTTATATCTCAAAACTTACTATGTCGTAATTTCTTTATTTCATCTTGCCTTTGACTTAAGATTTGATTTGGGTGTCTTCAATGAGGTTATCTGTAAACTTGATCTAGATATCTGGTTCAAGTTCATGTCTCCTGGTGGGTAAAAGGTAACAGGGCTGCCCAGGACCGAAGGACAACATGAGCCAAGACTTGTTTCAGTATTTGGCAGTTTAAGACAGAACCGCCCAAGGGCTCCAGGTCAGGTCTATGCCAGATCTCTGACATGAATTGCCTGTTTGTTCCTCACATGGAAACGTCACAACAACCAACCAAGATGAGAGACAGGTTAAAGAGTTGCCCAGATCACCCACTCAGCTAGTGATGTTGCAGAGCTGGGAGGGAAACTCAGGTTGTCTGACTCTGAAACCTGTGTCCTTATTCAGAAAAGAAAAATCATGCAAGGTCATCCTCACCCATATAGCAAGTTCCAGGGCACCCTGGGCTACATAATACTCTGTCTCAGAAAACAAAACAAAGAAACAAAACCGAAAAGCTAAAATGCGGCCAGGGATGTCCTTGTCACACATTCTCGGTATCCTGAGTTCAATCCCCAGAACCCATGGAAAGGTGGAAGCAGAGGACTGACTCCACAGAGTTGTGCTGTGACCTCCACGTGTGCTAGATCAAAACAATAAAAAACAAAAACAAACAAACAAACAAAAAAACAGGCAGCTTGCTGGCCAGCCAGTCCAGCTGAATTGGCAAGCTCCAGGTACAGTGAAGAGATCTATCTCAAGAAAGATAAAATGTAGAGTGAGTAAGACTTTCAAAGTCAACTTCTGTTCTTTCATACACACACACAATTGTGTGCCTGTACCCACACATGCACAGATGAACATGCGCGTGCACACACACACACACACACACACACACACACACACAAACCCCCTAAACGGTATGAAACCGTGTTCCTGACCACAGAGTGTTTCTTATTTTCTAAGAGTTCCTTAACGTCAAAGCATATCAGTGAAGTCTCAGCTTGTTTGTGTTTATAAGCGATGATGTCTCTTTTAGCAGACTGTAGAACTGGGAAGCTTTCCAATGAGCGATGGTGCTAAGATAGATATCCGGGGTCAGGAGTGCCACTTAACTCCATTGTTGAACAGATGTGTGTTACTGATATCATCACATGATCGGCTAGCTGTACTCCTTCTCTTTTCAGTTTTTAATTTTTATTTGGGGGTATTTTCTTTTTTGACTGCTAGACACAAGATCTTGCCATGTATCCCAGGCTGGCCCTGAGTTCATATCATTCAGCTATTTTTTTCCCCATTGAATTTAATTATTTATTTTACGTTCAACCACAGTTTCCCCTCCCTCTTTTCCTCCCATTCTGTCCCCTCCTCCCTTCCCCCCAATCCACACCTCCTCTGTTTCTGTTTAGAAAGGGGCAGGCCTCCCAAGGGTATCAACAAAGCATGGCCTAGTAAAGTTGTAAATTATAGTTACAAAACAAACTTATGAAACTCAGTTAAACATTTAAGGAGAAAGGAAAAAATATCTTTCAAGGCAAAATAGTGTCTTAGCAACAGTACAGGTAGTGGGAAAATGTCCCTATATCCCACTCCACCCCCTACCCACTCCCACCCCTGGAACTTACTATTCAGATCAGGTTGGCCTCGAACTTGGTAAATTTCTGCAGTCTTTGCCTCCAAGTGCCGGGACTACAGATGTATGCAATCATATCCGACTACAAGTTGACTTTTTGTATTGGCATTAGTTTGAGACTTTCTTAGGGCCAGAGATCAAACCAGGGCCCAACACATGCTAGGCAAATACTCTACCTTTGAGCCATACTGAACACACTTCTGGTAACTGCTAACCTGACTTCCCTGGGGAGATGGAAGGGAAATGTGTGTTTACCTCAAATAGGCAGGGAGCTCAGAAACGTAAGAAAGAATTTAGCAAGCCTACTCAGAGAGGGAAATGAACTGGTTGGGGTTACAGGCGCCTGAGGGTCCCATAGTCAGCTACAAACACACACACACACACACACACACACACACACACACACACACACACACAGATTTTACAAATGAAATGACGATCAGAGATATGACTTGGTTGATAAAATGTTGACCTATCTGTCATTTGCAACTTTATGCAGTGGCACAGGACTATAATCCCAGTAGTCAGGAGACACGCAGAATGATCAGAATTTCAAGGTCATCTTTGATTATGTACTATGAGTTTGAGGTCAGCCTGGGCCACTAAAGAGTCTGCCTCAAACGCACTGTGTTGGATGCTGGGCGCACATGATTAAATGAAGCTGTGATCAGCTCCCAGAAAGCCCAAGGAGGTGAGTGATCACATGGAGGGGACACTGGAACCAGCAGGACACTACAGAGAGAACTCAGGTTGGGGGTGAAGTCAGGGACTGTTTCTTAGAGGAGGTGGCAACCAAATTCCTTTAATGCGTGTCATGTGAGAAGAATGTGGGACCGTGCGTAGGCACTGCACAAGCGCACGTGGCGTCTGTGTAGTCTCTTTCTTGGGACTTTTGCCCCTGTTGGCTAGAGGCATCTGGCTGTCCTGCTCTCTGACCAGCATGCCACACATTCTTCATGGGTTGTCTCTTCTCCCCAGTGTCCAACAAGCACCCGTTTGTGGACAGCAACCTCCTCTACCAGTTCAGAATGAACTTCCGCCGGAGGCGAAGACTGATGGAGCTGCTCAATGAAAAGTCTCCGTCCTCCCAGGAGACACACGACAGCCCCTTCTGCCTGCGGAAGCAGGGCCATGACAATCGGAAATCCACCAGCTTTATGTCAGGTATGCCGGTTCCGTGGAGGGCGCATGCGTTTTGTCCTTTGAGAAACGGTGGAGTGGGGCTGAGGCTGTGACTGCTTTGGGACACTGTGTTCCAGCATGCAGGAAGCCCTAGGCTTAATCCCTAACACCACCAGGTGTGATGTTGCGTGCCTGTATATGCCAGAAGTCAGGAGGTGAAGGCAAGAGGATTAGAAAAACTCAAAGTCATGCTCCACTACAGTATTTGAGGTTCACTTGTGTTACATGTGTTAACAATAAACATGTTCCAGGCAGTGATAGTGTATACCTTTAATCCCAGCACTCTGGAGGCAGAGGCAGGGGGATTTCTGTGAGTTTGAGGCCAGCCTGGTCTACAAAAAAACCAAACCAAAACAACAACAACAAAAAACCAGGCACTTTGCACATTCCCGTGCATACACACACACACACACACACACACACACACACACACACACACACACACACACCAATACAGAAGTGTGAGATGTTTAAGAGTATCTCCAACTTCTCTAAAAACTTGGCATTGACTCAAGGGACTTGCTGACTTAAAGTTCAGAAGCACTGGGTGAGCGTGGGGCACTAGCTTGTCATCCCAGTCATTGGAACCGGAGGCAGGAACTCCAGGTCAGGCTTGGATACGTGAGTTCTTGAGATCTTGCCTCCAAAGGAAGAGAGGAAGAAAGTAAAGAAGGAAGGAGAGATGGAAGAAAGGAAAATAAGCACTGAACTTAACTCAGCACAAAGCAGATTTATCATGTCTTGCTTCTGAACAGGGACTGACAATGAGGGCACGTAGCCCTGTGAATGGTGACATTTCTGAGCCTCAGGCTTGGCTTCGTGAATTTTCTCACTATAACCCTAAGGAATGATTGTCCCTATCCTCATTCCACAGATAACAGTCCAGAACCTTGGAGTGGCTTACAAGTGGTGGGTGTAGCTTCCTCTCAGCAGTTCTATTTCAGCCTGCCCGCTTCTGAGTCCTTTGTGTCCCAAAGTCCTCAAAAACAGGCCGACTCAAAGCAAAAATGAAGCAAGAGCTGCTAAGTAGAAAACAAAAGCCAGCAGAAGGTCAGCAGCCCAAGCCTGTGCCCCAAGGTCACGGTGGAGATAGTCTCTAGTCTTCTGCAGGTGCCAAGTAGCGATTCATGCTTCCTTTGGACAGAGGCTTGCCTGCTCCTTGGAATGGGTCAATAGAGTTGATGTGAGGAGAATAGGTTAATGTACTCCTGTAAATCCTTCATTAGTTATTTGCTTGTTTTCTTTCCACGGGCCAGTCAGCAGCCAGAGCAGTTTCCACACTTTCCCTCGTGTCCAGGCCTTCAAAGTCAAACCGCCAAAATCTGCAAACTGAAGGTGACTGTGTCTCACATAACAGTTTGAAAGCCTCGGTATGGGCCGTTTTAAGCTTTGCCTTCCTTGCTTCCAAATGATGGCTGGCTGTCATTAAATGGGAAGCCATTTTCTACCACTGTGTAGTGTCACATATGTCCGAGACACTGGATTTATAATCAGGGTTTGGTAGTTTTTGAAATCGTGTCCTGCAGGAGCCGGAGAGATGGCCCCATTGGTAAAGTACTGAACCCTCAGGCATGGTGACCCGAGTTTAGATTCGCAGCCCTCAGATAAAGGGTATGTTAAGACTTAAAAAAGAAGCTGGGCAGCCGGGCATTGGTGGCGCACGCCTTTAATCCCAGCACTCGGGAGGCAGAGGCAGGCGGAGCTCTGTGAGTTCGAGGCCAGCCTGGACTACCAAGCGAGTTCCAGGACAGCCTCCAAAGCCACAGAGAAACCCTGTCTCAAAAAAACCAAAAAAAAAAAAAAAAGGTATGTTGTCATATATCTATAATCCCAGTGCTAGGAAGGCAGAGACGGGATACCTGGGCCTTGCTGGTTAACCTGGCCAGATCATCAAGCTCTAAGTTCTGTGAGAGAAACCATGTCTCAAACCATAAGATGCATGACAACTGGGAAGATTCTGGATGTTGACCTCTGACCACGACATGCAAGAATACACAGGTGCATGTGCATATGTACATACAACATACACATGAATATATACATACACACTCAAACACCCCAAGACAAAATATCTGGTAAACTAGGTACAGTGGTATGCCCTATGATTCCGGGACTATGGTGGTTGAGATTAGCCTGGGCTCCATACGAGCAATATTTTGAAAAGAAAAAGAAGAAGGGAGAGAAAGTTGTTCATAAACATTATAGTAGCTTCTCCTTGCAACACACCCCCCCTGTGGAATATTATTTCATTTCATAGTCCAGGAACCTGAAAGGCAATGGCTGTCTGTGACTATGTGGGCTGATGGGGAAATCCTGTTTATATGTCAATAAAGCACTGTTGGCCAATAGTGAAGCAAGATAGGTGGGACTAGGAGTCCAGGAGGACTCTGGGTAGGAGAAACACAGGAAGTCACAATATACCCCTCGGGAGAAATAAGAGGTCCGGAACTTTGCTCTGGTAAGAGAAATACTTAGATTAACAATTATGGGGTAAATACTTAAGTCAGAGCTAGCCAGTGAGAAACCAAGCAAGGCCAACACCTTCATAATTAATATAGCCTCCTGTGTGTTTATTTGGGACTGATGAGGATCTGGAACCAGGCTGGCAGGAAGGACGTGAAATTCTTTTTTGTTTGTTTGTTTTTTTTGTTTTTTTTGGTTTTTCGAGACAAGGTTTCTCTGTATTGTTTTGGAGGCTGTCCTGGAACTCACTCTGTAGACCAGGCTGGCCTCGAACTCACAGAGATCCGCCTGCCTCTGCCTCCCGAGTGCTGGGATTAAAGGCGTGCGCCACCAACGCCTGGCAGGACGTGGAATTCTTACTTTGCAGCTGAAAGTCCAGGAGTTCTGGATCCTGAGACCACTACCCAGTGCCTGTGTTTGCTTCCCCTCTACAGTCAGTCCCAGTAAAGAGATCAAGATCGTATCTGCCGTGCGGAGAAGCAGCATGAGCAGCTGTGGCAGCAGCGGCTACTTCAGCAGCAGCCCGACGCTCAGCAGCAGTCCCCCTGTCCTCTGCAACCCCAAATCCGGTGAGTGGGAAAGGGGCAGCCATGCTCCTGTCTGTGGTCTCTTGTGCCCGTATTCAGGCTGAGTCCCTTGGGAGCAGGAACCTTGCGAAAGTGTACTCAAGTTAACACCTGTTGAATGGCTGGGAAAGAATAGCCCGTGGGCTGTGATGCAGCCTCATGGAAGGCTCCTGTTGACCCACAATGCACTAGGATGCCCTACAAAGTGCACAGAGTGGTTCTGAGAGAACCAGACACCTTCTCGTTGTGCAGCTAATCCGTGCCCCTAAAAGGAAGGCATGACTTTGCTCAAGACAGCTGCCTTCGGAGAGATGGCTCTCAAAGTCAGCTGAGGACTGCCCAACTCCAGCACGTGCAGAAGCTGTGATTATCAGCTGAGAGGAGGCCCTTGGCTCTCAAAAGGCCCGCAGCAACTTGCAAATGCAGCAGTGAAAGAACTGCTTTCCCAGATCGTGGCAAGCCAGGATCCATGTGACCTGCTTTTGGTCTTCCTTCCTTCTTCTTCCTTCCTTCCTTCCTTCCTTCCTTCCTTCCTTCCTTCATTTCCTTCCTTCTTTCTTTCTTTATTCTTCCCTCTTTCTTTATTTTGGTTTGTTTGTTTTCTGAGACAGGGTCTTTCTATGTAGTTCTGTGTGTCTGGTATTCATTATGTAGCCCAGGCTGGCCTTGACATCCCCACAGTCCCCCTGCTGGTTGCTGGGATCGTTATCATGTGCCACCATGCTTACTTTCAATGCCTGAGGCTCATAAGGAAGAAGGGTGGGTATATACAGGCCTGCTCATTGGAATTCATTGCTGTCTTACGCTTTCAAAACCTATTCATTAGCCAGGCGGTGGTGGCGCACGCCTTTAATCCCAGCAGTCGGGAGGCAGAGGCAGGCGGATCTCTGTGAGTTTGAGGCTGGGCTGGACCGACAGCCTCGAAAACAATACAGAGAAACCCTGTCTCGTAAAAACTAAAAAAAAACAAAAAACAAAACATATTCATCAGCCTCCATGAGGACTTTGAACTGTCATAAGGCTGGCTGACAGAAGCTTTCAAGGAACAGCCTTAAAAACCTCCAGTCAGGGTTCAAAAGAAATGCTGCAGTAAGCAGAAGGACTAAGGTCTGAGGGCTAAAGGAACCAATCAGCTCACACACGTCTTTTTGTCATTACGTCTCTTTATTCTTCAAAAGAAAAAAACTCTCATCCCACAAGGTTTCCAATTTATATACCCACACAGACACAATTAGCAATTCTCTGGCAATATTAAGGTTACAGGCAGGTATTTCTCAGGGTCAAGAAGACAGACAAGGCTGACAAAGTTGTCTTCCTTTATGTCTCAGAGGGGGCGTGGCTGTGAAGCACCCAGGCATTTCTGCAAAGGATCAATAGAGGAAGGGGCTATGATTGCTAAGAGGGGAGAAAGGGAGTTTGTGTGTTAACAACATCTGTGTTGTTAGTTAAGCTCCAAGTTTGTAATCGGTAAATGTAGAAAACGGGAAGGAAACATGGCAGCACTATGCACTCTCTGAGCTCTTCCTCTTCCTGGCAGCTGGGAACGCAGCATCATGACAACCATGGCAACCTGCCTATGCTGCTGTGGGGCGAAATGGGCGGTGCTTGGTCAGTATTAGCATTCTCACCCGATGTTAGCTGACTAAAGGCAACCTCTCCACACTAGAGATAACATCTAAGGTTGCTAGATCAAAGAGAAGAGACTACGGCTATGTAGTACAAAATCCAGAGTCTTTTATGCTTCTAGCCTCTGGCTAAGCAGTGGGGATCTTGTTCCCGCTGACACCAAACGAGAAGGAATTCCTTTCTCCTGGGCCTTTTTGAGAATTCAAGGCACCCAGTATCAAGATTCTACAGCCAAATGAAAAGTCATCCTCCTGACTTCCCACAAATATATGCGCCCAGTAGATGGAATATTTTCATAGGGCACACACACAAACAGTGGGAAACACCCAAAGCTATTCTTAGGGAAGAAATGAAGTGACTCACGAGTGAAATTACGGACAGGAGCAACTGATTTCCACAGACTCCCCCACCTTTTGAGGTGGAACTCCCTACCACTCGTGTAGTAGGTTGGCCTGTTGAATGTTAGTTATCGTGTTGTATTTCCCATGGCTCTTGACAGCTGGCAAGGTGGCTTAGAGCATAAAAGTGCTTGCCATGCAAGCCCAACAACCTGAGTTCAATCCCCAGAACCCTCAGAACCTGTGTAAAGATGGAAGAAAAGAACCCACACCACAAAATTCTCTGACCTTCACACACACGCCTTATATCTATCTATCTCTGTCTCTCTCTCACAGACACACACATGCTCCTTCTAGTAATCAAAATATTAGCCATCTCTATGTATCAGAGTAATATAGATTTAATAGTAGATATAAGTATCTAACCCTCCCAAAAGAACAAAGCTATAGCTGTTACCATAATCCACTGTCATGGTGATGAGTAAGGAGGAAATCTGCGGGATAATTCCCTGGGTCTCAAGGTTTCTGTTTTCAAACACAACAAAAAGAAAAAGTGCATTAAGATAAACAGTTGCCCTGCTGCCAAAAATATCATCAATTTTCATAACCCCCTGAGGAGTCACAGGCATAGAGAAGAGCTTGTCTGCTAAGCAAAATAAGATCTCAACCCTCATTCACTGCTTTTCCTACCCCCTCTCTGTCTCCTGATAGTTAGCCTACTCCCTCATCCTTAGCCGACACTGATTCTTTTTCAAAGCTTTCTAAAAAGCAAAAGCAATAATCCCAGCCACCTGTCCCCCTCGCAAGAAGCGGTTCTCAGCTCTTCATTTCTTAAGCCCGGGGCTAACCCAGCAGTTGGGCCCAGCTGCCTGAGGATCATGCAGGCCTGTCCCACGCTGCTGCACACTTGTTGGGCACCAGTGTCTGAAAGGGAACTGGAGGTAGCGACATCTCCAGATTGGACCCTGCCCATTGGTGGTTTCAGTTCACTGTGGTACTTAAATCTCTACTGTACAGATCCCCATGTTAGGGTGGCCCCTGAGCCCAATACCCACTAACTGTCCTGGGAGGCTGGCACAACCCCCTTTCTAGTTCCAAACAATCAAAGAACAGACAGGGAAATTATGACTAGAGGATGGAGGGAGAAGTTCGTTACTCAGGGGGTTCCTGCAGCTGTCTTGATGCCTTGATAGACAACAGCTGAGAATAGACAGACAACACTCCACACTGCAATCTTCTAGAGTTTCTGTGCCAACATAGCCCAGGAGGACAAGTAACACTTGCTAAGAATGTGGGTCCTGCCACCTATGCCTGAATTTGATCCTCATTTTACTACCCATGCTTTAGTTATCGATCTTGGATGTGCACAGATTAACTTTTCTGAGCCAGTTTTCTCATGTATAAGATTAATGGCCAAAAAAAAAAAAAAAGAAAAGAAAGAAAGAAAGAAAATTTTTTTGGTTTTTCGAGACAGGGCTTTAGAGGCTGTCCTGGAACTCACTTGGTAGTCCAGGCTGGTCTCGAACTCACAGAGATCCGCCTGCCTCTGCCTCCCGAGTGCTGGGATTAAAGGCGTGCACCACCAACGCCCGGCCAGAAAGAAAAAATGTAAAGCCGTGATACCAAGCATTATATGTTTAAGCTTTAAGGCCAGCCGGCACTTACTTCTGTGGCTTTAGAATTTTCTCCTATGAGTTTATTATACCTAATTTCACTTTCAAATGAAGCAAGTGTGGTGACACACAGCTGCAACCCCAGCCCTGGAGGATCAGGTAGGATTGTATTGAGCTTGAGGCCGGCCTGGGCTACATATCAAATAAGCAAGACCCTGTCATGGATGGATGGATGGATGGATGGATGGATGGATGGATGGATGGATGGATGGATGGATGGATGGATGGATAGATAGATAGATAGATAGATAGATAGATAGATAGATAGATAGATAGATAGATAGATAGATAGATAGATAGATCCCAGCCCTGGAGGATCAGGTAGGATTGTAGTGAGCTTGAGGCCAGCCTGAGCTACATATCAAGTAAGCAAGACCCTGTCATGGATGGATGGATGGATGGATGGATGGATGGATGGATGGATGGATGGATGGATGGATGGATGGATGGGTAGGTAGATATATAGATAGATAATCAGTCAATAAATAAATAGGTGTGGTTGGTACACTAATAAGCCACCCTGCTAACGCTGCGACCCTTTAATACAGTTAGTTCCTCAGGTTGTGGTCACCCCCTCAAACACAAGATTATTTTTGTTACTACTTCATAACTAACTTTGCTACTGTTATGAAACCTAATGTATATATCTGATACGTGGATGGCCTTAGGCAACCTCTGGGAAGGGTTGTTCAGTCCCAAAGGGGTTGAGCCCCGCAAGTTGAGAGCCACTGCCTTAGATGGCGAGCTCGGGTAGAGATGAAATGAGTAACGGATGCCAGGATGCCGGGAAGTGGTCCAGTCCATGGAGAGTGCTCAGGAGCGTTCCCTGGCTGGCTCATCAGAACTGCATGCATCATTCTTGTGTCTCTAGGTTATTTACTACAGGAGAATGAAGTCTAGCAAATGGGTTGTGTGCAGTATGTCAGGGACAGGGAGTTGGATGGAGCTGCTATCTGCAGCGAGGCTACTGGACTGCTGGAGTTTGGGCAGATACAGATACAGATACAGATACAGATACAGATACAGATAAGGAGAAAGAGCTGGAACAATTAGAAGCTTAACCATTTCCTTTGTAGGAAGACTCCATTCTTCCCTCTGTCCCCTCCTCCCAAGGCATCTTAATTGCTTTTTCCCCGACAGTCCACATCTTCCCTGCATCCCTATGTTTCTAAAAGTTAGGTTTAAGCTCTTGACCGCTGTTTCCTGTCTGCTCAGCTAAAGGATAGATGTCTTTGCCACTTTTATTGATTAGCATTCAGGAAATACCTACTGAATGACTAGAAGAACTTAGAGCTGTGCATTCTCTGATGCCATGTCTGTCTCTTAGTGCTGAAGAGGCCTGTCACCTCTGAGGAACTCTTGACTCCTGGGGCTCCGTACGCAAGGAAGACATTCACGGTAAGCCTCGCGCCTGTGCACACTTTGTGAGGCTTAGGGACCAAACAGAACACTTTTCTCTAATTCCTCCTCCCTTCTTTTTGAGACAGGGTCTCACTCTGTATCCATGGATGGTTTGGAACTCGCTATGTAGACCAGGCTGGCCTTGAACTTACGGGGATCCTCCTGCCTCTCTAAATGTTGGGTAAAGATAGGTGTTGCCACACCCATCTGCTCATTTTGGTTTTTACTTGGTTATAATAGTAGACTTTCGACGGGCGTTGGTGGGGCACGCCTTTAATCCCAGCACTCGGGAGGCAGAGGCAGGCGGATCTCTGTGAGTTCGAGGCCGGGCTGGACCCACAGCCTCCAAAACAATACAGAGAAACCCTGTCTCGTAAAAACAAAAAACAAAAAAACAAAACAAAAAAAATAGTAGACTTTCTGAATACAAATGCAGTGAAATGCGTTAAAACCTCCCTTGATTTGTTAGTGACATTCTTAGTTCTTTTTGATGTGTCCTTTTAAATATCTACTGTGCACCTGTTCTGATATAATTATGTACTTTTGAGACCGTACAAGCAATTTCTTCTTCATTACAGTTAATTTAAAAAATCACTAAGGGGGGAGCTGGAGAGATGGCTCAGTGGTTAAGAGCACTGGCCAGAGGACCTGAGTTCAATTCCCAGCACCCACATGGCAGCTCACAGCTGTCTATAACTCCTGTTCCAGGGGAGCCTATGCCCTCAAACAGATATATGTGCTGGGAAAACACCAATATACATAAAATAAAAATAAATAAAATGCTTTTAAAAATCACTAAGGGGTTAAGAGCATCCTGGGGAAGAGAAAGGAGACAGTAGGATAACTGCCAGCGTGTGTTGAGGTGTCTAGCCACCTGACTGGGCAGCCCTGTGTAGTCTCATGTAGCTAAGGACTCACCCTTTCTTAGTGTCCCCCAAGCCTTCTTTCCTGCCATCCCCAGACCCCACTGATTTTATCCAAATGGATCTAAGTTATTTTTCTGAAGGAGCTCATATAGCCTCGAACTATGGGTAGCCAAGGATGACTTTGCATTTCTGATCTCCTTGCCTCCACCTCTGAGACTCCAGGATTGCAGTCGTCATTGGGTTCATGTAGTTGTGGGGATCAAACCCAGAGCCTCTTTCATGCTAGGCAGTACTCTACCAGCTAGGAGGCATCCCCAGGCCCGTTCCTGTGACCTTACTGGTACCACCTCCACTATTCTGCTTGCTGTCTCCTCTCAGCCTGCAGTATCCATATCAATAAACTTTTTTAAAGAACATCTCCCCCTCTTCCCCTGGTTCCCAACTTTTGTTATTACCTCAAAGAAGAGACTTTTCCCACACATTCGTTCACACCCCAGACTCTTGGTGAGGGCCCCTTGCTGAGCACTGGGGAGTTAACATAAGGAGGGCTGATATAATATGTCTGTGTCAAGGGGAAAGACACACTGCACATTTGAAAGTGAAATCAGATATATTAAATTCATAGTAGCGAATCTGAAAACCACAGGAGCGCCTGATATACTCTTGACAATTTCCACCTGAGTTCCCAGTCTCCGGCTGTTGAGAGGGGGCTGTGTTTGGAGAGGGTTTGTTTATCTTTTTATCTAAACACCAGCATTACTAATACTTGACTGTGAGGGTCTTTCAATCAGCGTATTTCTAGGGATGCTTCTGGAGTCGTCCAGGGAACCTCCCTGCCAGTTCTGATTATATAGGAAAAGGTATGCTTCGGTGCCAAACAATGTTTGAACCAGAGTCTGTAAACTGTGAACTTTATCTGCTTTCTCACTTGGTTTTTTTGGTAGGGAAAAACCATCTTTCAAAAGCTCTTCCTCTTCCACCACTGGTAGCTTAAACTGTTCTTCTAGACTTCAATGTAGCCAGATCAAAGTCTGTGATTTGGATATGAAGGAAACATCCACTGCGGAGGTAGATAATGAATCTAGAAAGTGCAGCAGTGATTTTAAGGTCTTGTCAGACTCCTACTGGGGTGTAGTATGAAATTGGCTGTCAGCCCAATGCGAACAGGCAAATGTGCCTCCACTACATTTCCATTCCCCTGACACAATAGAGATGAAGTGAAGAAAAAGGATGTGTCAATACACATAGTTAATCCCGGGTCAGACTTCACTGTCTTGGAAAGACAGGCAAGCCGCCAGGGACAGTCTGCTGTTTGCTAATCGTGGTTTTCTTCTCTAGATTGTTGGTGATGCAGTTGGCTGGGGCTTTGTGGTTCGAGGAAGTAAGCCATGCCACATCCAGGCTGTAGACCCCAGTGGACCTGCAGCTGCAGCAGGGATGAAGGTACGATTCATCAACTCCCTGCTCACTCTCTTCTGTCTGCTCCGGCTTCTTCAGGGAGCATTTATTGACTGTGGGTTTTTTTTTCCTTAATTTCCACGATTCTTTATTTTCCCCTGTGTCTTCCCTCCCCTCAGAAAGGGCCAACTCTCTAGGGCATTGTGTCATACACCTGTAGTCTGGGCACAAAGGCTGGAGAAGCCTCATAACTGGGCACATCATCCAATCAGAAATGAGTTGTTACCTCCACTACAGTCATGCCACTAATGCACCAGTAGACGGCATATCAAGCTCAGTAGACTGGTATTGTAGTGTGCAGATTCCACCACTGGGTAAGTGTAGTGATAACTTGTCTCCTTAGTTCCAGCTTGATTTCTCTATGTCCTGCAATTGTGTCTTCAGCAATCACACTTGCTATCTATCTGTAGTGGACAGCCAAGAGCAAGGTCATTAACCCCATGTTCTTTTAGGAACCTCAGGGGCCTCCCTGACTAATAACTCATAGGGAAGTATCCCGTGCCCGGTGCTGAGATTTTCATTAAAGAGTATATGCATTCAGTGGAAAGCATTGCACACAAATGCAGGGAACCTGTGTTTAAGTTCCTTTGGGAAAAAAAATATGTTCTTTATTAGCATACAAAGCAGTTGGTTGCCATAAGGGTTCTTCGTGCAACTTTAAGGTTGGTTAATACACCTCTCATCCCCTCTTCCCCTGGTTCCCATCACTTGATCTCTGCTTAAATCTGCAACTCACAGTATTACCACGAATGTGGTTTTCTGCTTTTAAGCATCTTTATCTACTACAGTTTTGTTCTGTCCTCTGCGAACATTTCACAGAGGATGTTGATCTTGGATGATCTAGCATGAAGAGAGGATTCAAAAGACTGGACAGTTCCATCATGCCTCCCATACATTCGTCCAGGGCTTCCATCCCAGCCTAGTAACCAGGGCAGCAGGGGCAGCAAGCATGTCACTGCCCCAGTTTCACATTCTGACCCTCCCCCATTTGAAGAACACATCTCACCAGGTCCTGTACTCCAAAAGATGCCAGTCTCCTTGGAGAAAGCAGCTAGGGTAGAATCCCTTCCCACACTGGATACAGAATCCAAGGAGCTCAGTGAGAGAGTTGCCTAGGATCCCGAAGAGCCAGCCCTTGTTTCCCAGCTGAGTTTTTCATTGTCTAAGGAACTTTTGGCCAAGAGGGTGATTTTATATTTACTCCCACAATGGCCACCCAGGATAAATTATTTTTGGCATGCTCCCTCACTTCTGAGAATGCAATCCTTTACATGAGGAGGGATTTGCCTCCAAACACATTTCCTTTGAAGAGGAAAGCAATGGATTGAGTGGCAGCTGAAGACCGTGCCCTGCCTAACTAGCCAAGCAGACCAGGAACCTAATTGGTTTTAGTTCATCTCTTGTGATTAAGTGTCACATAATTAGCTAACTCTTTATGTACCTGAAGAGTTGCTGTCCTCACTTTTCCCTGTTTTTAATAACTAGTAGTTTATTTGGTTCGTATTCCCATCTTCTCTGAAGGTGTATGACAGATTTCCTACGCTACAGAGCAGTGCAGGATTATCAGAGTGGCTTTTCTACAACTGCATTGTACAGCATTCTAGTTCAGCAACGCGCCCTGCCCTGAACATCTCTGCCCCAACACCTTCTGTCCTCTTCTTGAAATCAACCAAACACCTTGAACACATTAGCATATTCATGACTCTTCTAGGTCAGTGGGGGAGGAGGATTTTTAAATTATAATATCTGTTAGTTTATCATGTAGGAGAGATAACAGTGCTTGCCTTTAATCCTGGGACAGAGGGTTAGGATGAGAAAGATTGTGAGTTCAAGGCCAGCCTGTGCAACATAGCAAGATACTGATGGGAGGGAAGGTGGGTGTGGACATAACAATCATATAAGAAGGTAAACTTAGCCAAACTGCATATATATATGTATGCATGTATGCATGTGTATATGTATCTTTATGACTCTGTGGGGGGGCACTGCATGTTTGTCTGATTTTGTTTGTTTTTTAAACAAATGTCTCATGTATCCCAAGCTGGCCTGAAACTCATGATCCTCTGGGCTTATAGATGTGTAGCCCACTCCCAACTTAGAGATCCTTTTTTGGTGGTGGTGGGGATTCCAGACAGGGTTTCTCTGTATAGCCCTGGCCGTCCTGTCTCTGTATAGACCAGGCTGGCTTCGAACTCAGATCTTCCTGGCTTTGCTTCTGGAGTGTTGGGGGTAAAGGTGTACATCATGCATTCTAATCATGCTGCTGACTACCGTGAAAATGGTGATGAATATTACACCTTCATACATATTCGCTGTGTGTATATCTTAGAAATTATTTTGCGTATTTTCCCATCTAAAGCACTGAGTGAATTATCTCCTTAGTGTGCATGCTTCTACTGAATAATTTCCCTTCTGTAATAAGCCATCGTAGATGAGTAAAATGATTCAGCAGGTAAAGAAAGGTGCTTGCCTCCAAGCCCAGTGACCTGAGTTTGATCGCCCCCACATGGTGGCAGAGAGACCCAATTTTCACAAGTTGTTCTCAATCTCTCAGAAGTTGTCTTCCGATTATGATACCTGTGTTATGGCATGTGTGCATACAAACAGACGAGTAAATAAATGTAAAAAACATTAAAGTGAATTATATAATCTAATATTTATGGCTTGTTTTCACTAACCTATCATACCTTTGTTGGCTTCATATAGCAAGACTCGAGGGTTTTATTTATACAGTATTGGGTATAAGACTTCAACAGGGTATCCTTGGAGAAGAATCTGGACCTGGGTATTTATTGACCATGGTTGTGGGGGTAGAAATTTTCCAATGTGACTTAGGTTAGAGCTTAATGGTAGAACATCTGTCTAGCATATCTGTTGCTTTAGGTTTAAGACCCAGTGCTGGGGTTGGGGGAGGGAGAGTGGAAGAGAAGAAAGAAAAAGAAATTACCCTGTGTTCAAGATAGATGCCTCTTTTAATTAAAAAAATATTTTAGGTGTGTGTATAAAAGTTAGTGATAATTGTCAGTTAGACCTAATCTACAATCATCCGGGAAGGGTGTATTAGTGTGGGGTTGTTTAGATTAGGTTGGTCTTTGGGCCTGTGTATGGGAGGATTGTGTTGATTGCATTATTTGCGGTGGAAATAACTGTCTACCGTGGGTGGCACCATTCCCTAGGCAGGGGATTCTGAATTGGGTAAGAGCAGAGAAAGCAAGCATATATGTATATACTTACTGCTTTCTGTTCCTAATTCTCTATATAATATAACAAGCTCCCTGTGGTCCCTTCTTTTGTGGACTGTCATATGAAACTCTAAGCCCAGTTAAACCCTTTCTGTCCTACATTGCTTTTGTCAGTGTTTTATCACAACTAGAAAAGAAACTAAGGCAGTGCTTGTGTTTAAAGAGGGTATGTGTGTGTGGTATCTTACACATACATGTGTGTATGGATGTGTGCCACAGGGGGTCATTGGGTACCCTCCTCTATCACTCTCTGCCATAGTCCTTTGAAGCCAGATTTCTCCCTGAACCCAGAGATCCCATTTTTACATCAAGGATGGGAGCCAGGCTTTTATGTGGGTGCTATGATCTGAACTCTGGTCTTCTGCTTATGCAGAAAATGATATTATCTGCTCAGCCACTTTTTTAAGCTCTCTTCCTTTCCGTTTGTTTGTGACAGGTCTCTTGTGTCCCACGCTAGCCTTGACCTCTCTGTGTAGGCAAGGGCGGCCTTGAACTCTTGATCTTCCCAAGTGCTGAGATTACAGCCCTTCTGCTCTGTTATGGTTTACATGGTGCTGGGGATCAAACCCAGGGCCTCTTATAAGCCAGGCAAGTGCTCTAGAACTGGCCCCAGATGTAAAGTGACCACTGGCCTCTCTACACTAAATGCCATGATCACCTTATGTTCTGGTTTGAATGCTCACTTCTGGGCTTGTAGTCGTGTTAGCAGATGGGGACTGACTGCTAGAAAAAAAAGTCACCAGGCACCTATAAAGGTTAAATACTCCCCTGGTTCCAGCTGCAGCCTCTATTTCCTGGTCCTTTGCCTTGTAGACAGTTGCACTGCCTCAGAATCTTGCCATTACTTCCTCTGACTAAGGTTCCTGGAACTTTGAGCCCAATTCAACTAGAGAGGTAAATAGTAACCCCTTCCGTCAGGTCGTCCTCTGCTTATGGGAATAAAGCCCGACTTCTAGCCATTATGACTTTCCCATTCAGGAGAGTTTGTGCTCTGACTCGGGAGCCACGTGGCTTTACTGCTTCAGTTGCTTAGAGCTTTTGGTGTTTGCCAGAGGATAGGACAGACCCCAGGCTGCAGACAGTGGGTGCCCATTCCCTGTTAGTACTTCAGCATCTTCCTAGCCAGCATCTGTGAATTTGGAGCTACTCCAAGTTTGTAAAAGTTTGTCTGTTTGTTTCCTCGCCCTCCCTCCTCCTCCTTGCTTTCCTTTTTTTTCCTGAAACGGGGTCTGGTGTATTTCAGCCTGGCTTTGAAATTGCTGTGTAGACGACCAGGGCGACCTTGATTCTACTGCTTCCGTTAGCACCCCGGGATCGCAGGGCTCTGGTTTAGGAGAACCCATTCTCAGTTTAGGAGGCGATTTGTGACTTATAGGCAAGCACTCAGCCAACAGAGCACAGCCTCAGTCCCACGCATCTCCCTCTTTTTCTGCCACTTGCATGGGGACGTCGGTTCCTTCTGCCTTGCTGGTGTAGACACTACAGTCCATAGAGATGCTGTGGACACTGACTTCATGTCACATCCCACTCCTTTGCGATCGCATTGAGACTAACCCTGATTCTAGACCCCACTGACTTTATGATCATTTTGTAGGCATCCTTGGTCCAAATTGGGTCCAAGTATTTATATTTCACAAATACCTCATGATGGCTCCATGTCTGGCTCTTAAGAGAATTGAATTAAGTAGCTCTGGCGCTTAGTATGCACTAATAGCTTCCTGTTAAATGCCAGATGTAGCTGGA